GGTGTCACTAGGCCAGACACTTCTGGGAGCTGCACAGAGTCAGGGACTGCCTTAGGCCGGCTACACTACTGACTGCACTTTTAATGGCCTGATTAGTAGTGTTGACCAAAGCCGCCAGGGTCCCTTTTCAACTGGGTGTTCTGGCCAAAACCAGATGCCAGGAAATCTTACATCACACAGGGCAGCATGGGTTGTAACTAAGGTAAGACCTCTGGATGTCTCAGTTAAATGGAGGGATCCTGGAATAGCCCGTAATCAAGAAGTTTCAAAGGTGGCTTAAAGCCATCTTAGCACCACCTTCTCTGAGGTGAGTGTTCTGTGCTGCACCTCCTACAAATAGAGCACAGAATCTCATCAATTGAGTAGAGGTGTATTAATGTATATTTAATTTCACTCAAGGTTATACTTATTAAAAGCCACAAAATACAAACTTTGTATTTCAGTTGGTATAAGTTTGGCCTTTGGGACTGAAGGCAAAATATTGAGGCATATTCACTTTAAGTTATTTGTGTGAAGAATGACAGGTACATAAATATCTTTAAAAGTATTACAGCATCATTTACCTGAGTATTTTCCACCTTTATTTCTTTTGACAAAGCACATAGTTAGCATCAACAAAGTAAGCAAAGCGATGGCACACATCAATCCAATAAACCAGCCTTGGGTGGAGATTCCCTCATAAATACCAGCATACGCTTTGTAAAAAGAGAGATGTAAAAACATGTAACAATAAAACAGAATATTTTAGCCATAAAAAAAATTTAACACTTTTGGAACTAAACCTGAATTGCACCAAACTATTGCTATTTACTGCTTTGCTGATTTCAGTGTAGCATAAATAAAGGATAAATACTAGCTTTAATAAATAATGTTCACATTTAAGGGAAATAAAGTGTGTGCAACACAACAGATATAAAGTAATTCCAAAGCAGTGTTTGATTCAGAGGATTAACGCCAAACAGGAAAGTTGGATAGAAAATTGATAGCCTCTCATGCAAGCAGTTTTGCAACAGATATAGAGTTAAAGGTGTTTAGGATACATGCAAACTGCTCAGCTAGCCACACTGATGAGGTAAAATGTAATAATGCCTACCTAATTAAAATAGCATAGTTGTTAAAACCTGTAAATAATATGTATTAGAAATTATTTGAGTCATTATTTACTATTGGGAAGATAAAATACAAGTCTGAATTTAAAAATTATGGATTCATTCTTGCACCTATTGAAATAAATGGCAAGAGTCTAAGATTTCAGTATTTAACTGTTAAACTCTAATTATACAATGTAACATTTAATATCATTATGTCTTGAAAAATAAAATAAAATAATCTTGTTTTATCACAGTGGAGTTATCCCCCAAAGGGTTTCGTTTCTCACCTCTCTCCCTTGTCTCAATTACATCTTCAAAAATGCTATTGTTATCAACCCAATTCTTAGTCACTAGACGAACTGTATATTCAGTTCCAGGCTCAAGTGCCTCAATGGGGTGAAACTTTTGGGTGGGATTTACTGCTTCTGAAATCTTCCCGATCCCTTTACCTATGAAACGTACATAGTCAAATCACATTGATTAATTCTGTTCATTGAGTAGCAGGATTCCGAAATGCACAGTTACAAATGATTTAAGTAACAAGTGGTAATACGTTACTCTAATACAGCATACATGTTTAGCAATTGCCTTTGGATAGCATATCTTATTTTTTTAAAGGCAGACAAGAAAATAAAGTAGAAAAGCATTTTCTGTGTTTGCTCTTTGATGTTATGCAAGATAAAATCAGCATCAAACTGAAATAATTCTGAGATGTATGGTTTTTTTAAATTTAAGAATGAAAATAAATTGTTCGAATGAGACATATAGGATTATAGACCTGCTTTAACTAATGAATGCTTAATTTAAAAAACACACCTGAATATGATTTTGGTTTATTTAAATGAACTGTTGCTTGATCCATCTCATTAAATTGGAATAAAGGAGATAAGACTAAGGCTACGGTTACCAATTTTGGCTGGACACACTCTTGGAGGTTTCATAACATGATATAATCTTTAGTTGTTGGAGACTCCAGGACAATCCAGGAGAGTTGGCAACACTGAGGCCCCTGCTATCCTGAAGCAGATAATGCTCTTTCTCACAGGAAAAATCATATTGCAATTTATACTCAAATTTTCCTTACTACAATAAATCTCCATGTCCCCATTTATTTGACAATTGTACTAAAACTATAAGTAAGCGCTTCTTTAGGTAAACATGAAGGGTTTTTAAAATTGTATTTCTATATACAATCTTTACGTATTCTAACTGATATTTAATTTATATAGAAAGTATTTTCAATCTTTTTTTGGGGGGGGGAGGGGGACGGTTCCAACAAAATCTGTCTTGCACTCCTTTTGCTTTCAAAACTCTCACTGACTTGAACAGAATGTTTTTTCTTGGATCCAGGACTGTGGTTTATTAAGTGTACTTTACAAGAAATTCATGCTAATTGCAAAATGAAGCAACTATTATTCACTACACTGAAGAGAGCAGGATTTGCCCCCATCATGGGCTCAGTATAGTATAAGTCATATATGGTATCAGCCTAATCCAAAATCCATTAATTCTAAAGGCTGTCATTGATGTCAATGGACTTTCAAATCAGGCCTTGGTAGAACAGTTTCCAGGTCTAGTGTTAGACACCAAACTTTGGTGAAAAATATTAAAATATTTGCCTTTTTACTTCTGTTTGTTTCCTTAATTTAACTGATCAACATTCTAAAGCCAGCTAAACAAAGGGATGTTTTTATGGTTATGTATACATACAGCATAACTCAAAAACTGCTTGACCAATTTGTGCTTATAATATGGACAGTAAAGCAATGTGGAATACTGCTGAAACCGGTAAGCAAGCAAACAAAAAGCTCTGAGCGATTAGCCCTTGGTTGATAACTGAAGGAAAAGAAAAAAGAGATTTAAGAATAGAATAGACATGGTTAAAGAATCTGTTGAGGATAAGTTTTCCAAGACAAATATACATACATCACAGTAAGCGGTTAAATTAGTAGGCCACTGGGAATCAGACAGAACATGTTCAATTGGAATAATGCTGATAGAAAAGCACAGCATATTAGCATCACATTATCTAGTGGTAGGTTTTACAAAATGAGCTACATGAAGGTAAGCTATACTTGTTAATCAAACTGCAAATTAAACAAGACATTGCAGGTACATTTTCATTACATTTTGTAAAATCAGGATGTCTTTTGTAAAATCAGAACACTGTGATTCAAAGAAAAGCTAACCATAAAGTAACAAGAAATAAAGCTCTGCTAGGAAAACTGTAACTCTGTTGGTAAATAAACACCATAAAACATTTAAAAGACATCGGCAGACAAGGTAATCATAAACACCAGTAGGTATGCATCATAGGTCTGATCTTGTATCTCTACTCACTGAGAACCTGAGGCAGCAAAGCACTTAAACTTGTCCTTAACTTTAAACGTACGAGTTATCCCACTGAAACCATTTATTTAATGCCATGACTCTCATATTTAAAGTTAAAATGCTTTGTGGGATCAGGGACTAGGTGTATAGCTTATAAGGCTGGCCAGATTGGGAACAAAATTGTACATCATGAGTTCTGCAGGACTTTTCATATTTGGCATCACAACATTGTATAAAGGATTTTCTGTATCCTAATATGTAACATAGGAGTCCAATGGGGACTGTGGGGGTGTGGGTGATTTCTTTCCATGTAAATCTGGTCTGCATTATAAAACTAAATGCTATACATGGCCTATGGAAAAGAAATAAGGTGTAACCAAGGGCATGTCTACACTACAGAGTTATTTCGAAGTAACTCCTGTTATTTTGAAATAACAGGGCGAGCCTCCACACAGCAAGCCCATTATTTCAAGATTATTTCAAAATAATAACCTCTCGTTCTATGAGGAACAACATCTATTTTGAAATTGCTACTTCAAAATAGTGGTAGTGTGGATGCTCAGCTGCTGTTCTTTCAAAATAACTACTCCCCAGAGTCGTTCAAAGTAATTACTTCCCAGTGCTTCCTGGTGCTGTAAGTCAAGATAGCACATCCACATTAAGGGAGCCTGCCTCGGACTAATTTCAAGGCTTCCCTGTACTGTGGAGATGCTATTTTGAAATCGTTATTTGGGGAGTTATTATTTCGAAATAACTTATTTTGAAATAACCTTGTAGTGTCGACATAGCCTGAGGGAAGATTGGTAGAGGAAATAGAACAAAATAATATAAAATTCCCTGGGGTGGGGAGCAGGGCAAAGACATACAAGGAAGGAAATGTTTACTCAATATACTGCAAGGTCAGTAAACTACAGAAATTGGCTTCAGAAAACTGAAAGCAGTTAGGTTAGGTTTTAAGCTACAATACAGTAAAATAAACTTTAGTAATAAAAATTTATCGCCAGCATTTGTCATCTCTCCTCTACTATTTATCATCCATATCATGGGATTCACATGAACATTAAACACTGAACTGCAATTTTACAATATTCCTATTGGATTTAGAGATTTATGAGAACAATGGAACATACTTTCTTTTTTTATTGAAGCCTATAGAATAATGGGAAAACAAGATAAACCTCCCCCAAAGACTTACTATAGTGTTGGTTCTCCAAAAGTTAGCACATCTGTTATGAAGCTTACTTATTAAAAACAAAAAGATTGGCAATCTTGCACCTGAATTATAATTGTAGGTAATATTTTAATTTATAACAACACCTGTCTGAATACATCTGCTTGGAATAAATGGAAATATCCTTTCATCAGGTTTCCTCCACAGAATGGCTATTAAAAACTTATAAATATGCATCATAATTACACTCTACCTTCTGGGCTTTTGTATTCTAGGAGGTAGTTCATGCTGATTGGTAGGGATCTTTTATTTTTTAACTGATAGTTTACAGTTAGTGTCATGTCCCTAGAATTCATTAGATGAAAATTATTAGGTCATCCTGCTTAGCTTGACACTCAAACTATCTGTCTTGACTCTTGGGTTGTTGGTCTTTTGAATATTGCACAGAAAAGAGGGTTGCTTATTTTACCTTACTACCATTTGTAGCTGATTTAATTGTAGCAAGAATTCACTAGATAATGTTTAGAATAGCAGTGCCCTGGTTAAGGAAAAGCAGGTATGTACACCGGGGCTTGCAGAGTAGCTCCCAGAATATGTGCAGATCAGCAGTGTGGCTTGCGAGGGCAGGTTTTGTTGATGTGGAGAAAGCTCCTTGAGGAGCTGAATAAATGTTGGGGTGTGGGAGCTGTTAACCAAATTGGTCACCACTCAAGAAATGATTGCATTAGGATGTTATTCTGTTTGGCTAAGAATGCTGTGGTTTTTATCCCTCAAAATATCCTATGGCAAAGGAGAACTGAGTAGTATCTTATTTCATGTGATGACAGGCTACTCCCCTAAGATTAAAATGCATCAATTCAATGTTTTTCAGGTATAATAGAAAACAAGCAAGCATAATAATATACCTTTAATATATATTATAATGTCAGATCAAATATGCCATGTGCCAAACATGACTAAATCCATACCCACAAGCCTCCTAGACAGCTATATTTCTCTGGGACAGTGCATTTTCCAAAACATACAACACAGTATGTAACAGTTGAGTACTAGACTAATGGGAGCTTTAGAAGCCCTAAAAGACATACAAAGGTAGATTTTTTTATTTTGAAAATAGAGCACATTGTAGACTCTGGTTGTTTGGTATTCAATGTAATTTTATAGAGTCTCATTCCATAGTAGAATCACATTTTAAATGTTCCACTTTAAATCTGGGCAACTGTAACTGATATGCCTTGACTATGCTCCCTTTTTTGACAGACTATATAACTTATTTAAATGATACAGCTACAAATTTTATCAGCCTCTTTGCATTGTGAGCACAGTGGGCAAAATAAAAAATGTGTAGCTGGATTCAGCTTAATTTAAATTGAGCTGCCACAGTGTCTACACTGCGGGAGCCTATGGGAGCATATGCTCCCATCAGCATCCCTTACTCCTCACAGAATGAGGAGTACAGGACACCAGTGGGGGGTTGCACCCAATGTTCGATTTAGGGGCCTACTCTAGACCCACTAAACTGAATGCTAGCAGATCGACTTCTGGAGGGTCGATTTTCTCTGTAGTGTAGACAAGCCCTTAGAGTTTATTGAGATTATGCTGTTCTATTTGTTGTGCAATATGCCACTCTTACTTTCAATAGAATCTCTTGCTGCCATTGCAGTTGAAACAAAATCCTTTGAAAGAAAAGAAAGCAAACAAGGGGAAAATTCCTATTTGTTTATCATGTTTCTTAGCCACATATTACTGATAGCATTACCAAGATTCTTTTAAAACCTAGAGTTACACATAGTTCTGCAAATTAACAACATCCTAAATGACCAAATGTAGGACTCCTGATCTCGGCAAAGAATAAATGCCAAATGAAGAAGCACTGTATTTTACTAGGCTTAGATAGAATATAAAATACATTTTTAAATTATGTTATCATGGACAAAACTCTGATATCTAAAATTATCTTTTTTAATTTAGCCATTAATATCATATATCAGTAAACATCTCACACTTCCCTTAATAGTATACGAAACAGGGAGAACAGAAAGGATACTGGAAATAGAGGCCCCTTATTAATATAGTGCCAGATTTTCCATGGCTCTGAAAAGGATACACTGTACATAGATTTGGAGGACATATGCAATGTATGGTGGGACTGATTTACGTCAGTGAAAAGGCATTAATTCAACCTTATGACCAGTATAATATACAGTTACCTAAGGGAAAGAATGTGGCAGAATAGCCCAGCCTAAAGGCTTGTTTAAGTGAAATCAAAACTGGTCTGTGATAGTTTTTCTATCAGGTATTGAATCTGGAAGGAGATCGTTACATTCAAGTGGCTTTGATGATGGGAAACAACATGAACTACCAAAGGTGGAATAACAGAATATTTCACACCTTGTTATCTATTGGTATCCTAAGACTTTCCTAAATAATTTCCTGAGCAAGAGCATATGTTATGTGTGGATTTAATTAGACATGGAGTCCTGGATCAAGATTTGGATGCATTAGTCTGGTCTGGGTAGGTTGATTCCTGGAAATAATATTGCACAAACTGCAGGTCTGACTGGAAACTTTCTGAAGTCCAAGGAGAACATGAGAGGGTGTGTATTTATTTGTGTGTGCATGTGTGTGTGTGTGCGCGCACAACTGAGTTCATCATAGGGTAGGCAATCTTTGACAATTTGTATAGGGTGAAAATTGGGAAATTTGTCTTTAGATCTATTCATGGATTTGGAAAGATACTGAAATGCATCACATGAACAACCAGGTCTTTATGCACAAACATTCATTAAGGATAATAAGAATTAAATAATGTGGAAGATGACAAAATGAGATGGGTGTGTCTGTTTCACAGATGAGACTTTAAATGCTCCTTAATGATTAGATCCTGAAATCAGGAGTGGTACATGAACTGGATTAAGAATCTTTTTTTTTTTTTTTTTTTTTTTTTGCCAGGAACTGTGCTTTGGCTTCAGCACCTGAAGAGACTATGCAGGATGAAAGCCAGCTAGGATATGAAGTTACATGGCTACCATATGTTATAAGTGTTAAAAATTATGAGGTCAGGCCATTTCTGCTGATCACATTCGTTTAATCTTTTTCTGTGGTATGTCACCAGCAATTATTGTTGATTAATAGCTAGGAACTTGTTCATTGGTACTGTAGAACTTTCAGAGTTGCTGAGCACAGTATATTTTATTTCAGCTAAATGAGACAGACTGGCTTGTTCTTTTAATTTTCTTGCAAATCACTGGACGTTAAAGCTGTAGGATAGCAAGTAGCCTATAAATGTATTTCACTGTGTAAGTTTATGGAATAATAATGCTATGCATGAGCAAACACACTATTGCTAGCCTTATGCTAATCTTGATTTGTGGGTTACCAAATTCTGCCCTCAAATGACAACATATGGCTTCCATTAATACCTCTCAGAATCCAAAATGGCCATTCCACAGCAGAATATGGTCTTATAATATTATCAAAGACAGGCTTTTGTGTTCTCCAGCATCCCGTTCATGGTTACTAAAGGCAAATTGCTAGTTTTAATAATATCAGATGAGTTAATTGTTTGGTTGATGTTGCTGCACAGTGACACAAAATAACTAAACCATTTTTGAAGGATCCAGGTTCCAACATTTAAAATTTCACTGACTGTGCTAAGGCAAAGCAGATTTTAAAAGCAAACAATTCCTTCTAATCAGAGAGGAACATGTCAAAACTGGAACAGTCTCAATAGATTTACCATTATTACAACCTCTCGTCATTAAATTATACCTCCTGTTAACTTACTCCCTTCAGTTATTGTTAATCCTTCTTCTGTGATTGGTTTCCCACAGCCTTTTATAGTACAGGCCTTCACGTAGAATTTATACTTAGTGCTGGAGCTCAGATTAGAAAACCTCCAGCTGAAAGTTGAAGGGTTTGTAATATTGACATCATTTAGTGGTCCAATCTCATTGGTTTCATTTACTGAAAGAGAAACAATAGAGTTCATTCAGGCATGGAAGCTAAATGTTACCAAAATGTGAGTGTATCAAAACAGCTGATAGAAAAATGTGGTTTATAGTAAGTAGGAAGGATGATATTTTAAATAATTGTATATCTTACTATGCTGATGTATTTGTGAGTCTTCAAATGGGATTTACCATGTCTAAATCAATCAATTGTATGATTGGATATTATGTAATGGAAAAGATTCTGTGATTCTAGAGGTCTCTTTACTGAAAAAAGAGAAAGGCCTGACTGTTAGGGCTATACAAAATGGTGGTCTAGAACCCTCATAAATGCTCATTAATTTAGAATGCTCAAGAATTTTCCTTTTGCTCCCAAATATCAGTCTGGGTTCTTAAACTTTGACAGGCCTGAAGCCATGATGCAAGTTTCTGGGGTGCTTGCAGGAAGTCTAGCAGCTGACTGGTGTATACGTAATGGCCATTTGAACACCCTTACTTGGCCCTCTCCAAAACTGGAAAGCATCCAACCATTACCCTTACCAAAGTACTGCATTACAAAAATAAGAGTGCAGTTTCCTTATGAAGGATAAATACTGAGTGACAAGTTCACAACAAGCATGTCCTTTGGCAACACGTGTTGAACATCCATTCCATTCCAACAGAGTATGATAAATTACCCTACAAACTTACCCCCAGTGTTTGACTGTACTGGTAAATTAAAATTGATAATGCAACACAAACTTTCCTCCCTCAGCTTGGTGGCTCCTGGACCATATCTCTTCTATCTCCTTCGCTTCTTTTGCCCCCCACAAGACATGCTTTATTTTTATTTCCTTGATATCCTAGTTACACTCCATTGGACCCACCCAATTGTATGACTCAGCAGTAATTTTCTGACTCTAAAATACAGGGTTTTTACAAATGGGCAGAGCATTTGCTGAAATGAAATCAATAAATAAAATGGATAAATGGTCACAAAAATTTTGCATTATTTGCCCAGCTGTAGCAAGTATGCATGTTTAAAGATTCTAAGCCAATGCACATGAGTCATGCATTATTATCACAAATTATTTCTTCTTTGAAAAATCAGGTGCATTTCTAAAAACAGCTATGTATTTTCTCAGTACTGTTTAACTATTGGGTTAACCGTTTGTGATTTGAAAACATTTATTACATGATTTCATTAATTTGTAAGAGTCTCTCAATGTACCATGATTGCACGATGAGCTTATCTAGACAGAAAAAGAAAATGCTGAAAACCTCTTCCCTTGGAAAATGGAATTGGCCTGCCCCCAGCAGGCTAAACTAACATCTGTAATTTTAGAATATTTTTTCTGTGCTGAACAAATTGTGACTTACAGTTGAAAAGGATTACTTTGCAGTTACTATATGTTTTAAATAACATTGTATTTAAAATACTGTTTGATATAAATATGACCTATTTGCTAAAACTCTACATCAAAGCAGAACATGTACTTACTTATCTGGTATTGCAAAATGTAGCCAGTAAGAAAGCCATTTGGTTTTCTTGGAAGTCCCCATGACAGAGTGACAGAATCCTTATCAAATGATAGTATTCTTAGAAAGCGTGGCTGTTCAGGGACTGGAAAACATAGGAACTGACTTAGTTTCAATGAATGTAGGTATTATCTTAGCTGCTCAGACTCCATACACTCCAGTTAGTATGACACTTCATCCAATATGCACGGTTCTCCATTCTTCGTCAACATATGATAAATGCTTAGACCTGATCCAGCAAGATGCTTGCTGACTATCTCTTGAAAGTTCTCGTTAACTCCCATTTACTGAGTTGATTTGGACTTTTCTATTGGATAATTGCATGAAACTCTTTTTTTTATGCTAGCATAATAATATACATAATATATCGATGAATGTTTGTTTAACTTCCTCCATCCCATTATTTAGTTTTTTCTTACCTCCTTCTGGAGTTTGGAATATGGTTGGAGAGCTTTCAGGTCCAGCTCCTTTTGCATTGAAAGCCAAAACAGCTAAGTGAAATTCACTAAATGGCTCTAGACCAGGAATCATTCCATAATTTCTGTCTCCTGTAAATGTTAGGAAGTGTTTGTCTGGGTGATGTTGTTTTCCATCCATCAAACTCCTTGTTTTCCACCAAATGACCTGTATGGAGAAGGGCAATTCTGTAAGAATATATTGATACAGTGGCTCTATTTCAGGATACTTCCGGTATCCTGTAATTGCTATTCTGCGTCTTGACAAATAGCTACATATCTTTCAAAATAATGGGTGTACTATTCCGATGTTCCTGTAAACTTCATTCCATGAGGGTTAAGAGATATTTTGGAATACCAGCTTATTTTGAAATTGTTGCAAAATAAGCTATTGCGAAATTAACTTGAAATAAGCTTGTTTTGAGATAAGGGTGCAGTGTAAACACACCTTAACTGATTAAGTTCTGAAGAGATGAACACTGCTATGATATCCCTCGACTTCACAACAACTGTTTTAAGCTGAGACACAGGATTTATCTAACACAGCATGAAAAGGCATCTGATAATTTGAAGAATAAATTATGATAACCTTATGTCCTTTTAAGTGTCCACGAACTCGGTCTCTTGGAATGCTGGACCAGATCGCTTTAACTAGTGTGCTATTCATCACTTCCACCATTACACTTGAAGGAGCAGCATCTGGAACTGTAAATATGTAGGTGTTATATATACTGAGCATACTCCTTGGGAGTTATTTTCAAAGAGTAGCTCTAAATGTATAGATACTGCATGCCCAGCTAGCATGGGTACAAACAGCAGCATAGATAGTGAGGCACTGGTCAGGTGAGTAGAGGGTCCTGCGCATCTAATCATTAGGAAATATCCCTTATATGGGTCTCTACATGCCAAAGAAGCACCTCTGATGCCTACAGTGCTATTTTTAGTACAGTAGAATCC